ATAGTGTAGGGGGCAGGCTTGCAGGGTATATCCTTTGGTTGGTTGATGATGCATGGAGGGGATTGTAACCATGGCAATGATATGATGTACGATAGAATGAATGATCCAGGACTGCTGTTCATCACATGCTACTGCTTCCTTTCAGTAGGTTGGTGTTTTCCTCTTCCTGAGTTCTTACCTTAATTTTCAGTTCAAGAAAGAGTAAAGAAAAATTTAACAATGCCCTGGTGGCACAATGGTTAAGTGCGCAGCTCCTAAGTGAAAGGTTTTAGGTTCTAAGTCACCCAGCAGTTCGAGGAAGAAATACCTGGTAATCTATTTCTAATAAAGATTGCGGCAATGCTCCTGTAAAGACACCCCCTATGGCACAGCTCTACCCTGCCCCACAGGGCTGCTCTGAGGAACAATCAGCTCCAGTGTACCCACTTACAACAAAAATGACAAACTTCATAAGGCCCTTCAGAGTACTTTAGTCATGAAAGCTAAGTAAAATTTACCTGTGTGTTTTAAAATTTACCTGTGTGATGAAAGCCATCTTCAGTGACTAGGTTGTAGTGCTAATAATGAGCAGAGTCATTTTTACTCTCACACTGTCCTACATAAGAAAACAGACCAATCTAGAAAGTCCACTGCTTAACAATGCAAATTCAGTTTTCAAAAAAACAGACACCTAAACATACCTTATAACTGTAACCTCCCTGAGCTATTCTGGGACCCAAGTAGGAAATCCTGATAATAACTGCATGAAAAAAGACTACCTCTCTTGTCTCTTACGATGCAAAACCAAAAAAAGAAGTAACTGTCATCAAGTCGATTCCGACTCGTTGCAATCCTATACAGGGCAAAGCAAAATTGCTCCTTAGGGTTTCCAAGACTACTGTACATCTTTAAAGCAGCAGAAAGCGTAGTCCTTCTCCCATGGAATGGCTAGTGGGTTTGAAGCCTAATGCTTAGGTCACAGAGCCGCCCGTATATTTTGCAGTTATATTTTAACTTTTGAAAAGGTATGTGTCTTTCAAAATACTAATGCTAAGTCAATTTGACCCAGAACCCTATGTATCTGCTTACCACGATTCTGGTTCCATTCATGTGCTTCTCTTAAGTATTTCACATCAAACCGGTACTGTCCATTTATGTAGAAATAATCATCAGTACTAAGAATAATTCCACCTCGATTATCTTCTTGCAAAATCCTGCAAATGACAAATGGAATGGTTCCATTAATTTTTATTTCTAAATCCTCTCTCCTCATTTTCACAAGGTCATAATTCAAATGAAAAATTCAAATATTCATATTTAAAGGAGTGATAATGTCAAAACAAATATTAGAAATTCTCTAAGCGGAAGTTTGAATCCCAAGAAAACGTAGCCAACCAAGGTAACTTTATTTTGCTTTATGTAAATTATTATTCAGAAACTTAAAAGGAATGTTATGAATGAGGTTTGAAGATTAACCTTTTTTTTTTTTAAATGTCTTACTATGAATTACGTGACAGTTTACATGGGAGAACATTACCTTTACATTTATCCTATCATATATCGTTTCATTGCCATGGTTACAATCCCCTCCATGCATCATCAACCAACCAAAGTGTACACCCTGCAAGCCTGTCCCCCTCCCACCACCCCGGTCATCAACACACAGCCCCTCTCCTTCCCTGAGTCCACCGTCCCCAGCCGCTACATCTCTCCATGTCATCGTCTCTGCCTCCATCTCTGGCATCACTGC